ACCTCCTGGAACCAATCCCAATGGCTCATCCTTGCTCTTGGAAGGCTCCTCGCCAGGTTTGGGGGGTCGCCGGGGTGCTGAGGATTGTAAATCCTGGGCTGCTGAGCGGTCTGCTCCAAGGCCCAGACCCTTGGGTCGAAGACGGTGCTCCGGAGGCTTCACGTCTCTTAATGTGAGCAAGAAGAGGAGCAGGATGGGATGAGAAAGAAACACATCGCTGACCCTGTCCAATTTGGGGCAGCATTTCTACCCGCAAGAAGACAACCCTGTACTGTTGCATAATGGACAGAAGTGGGCATGGAAGCAGTGGACTTGAATCTTGGCACAGCCACAACTCGCCGGGGAAAGTTTCTGCCAAGCAAATTTGGGGTGTCTCAAAGGAGAGATTTCAGCATCCATGGGAAAAAAGGTTGAAATGCTACAGAGCTGCATCTACCAGTGAGGGCTAGGCATGCCAAGCCAGAGGCATTTACAAAGGCTTTACCACAGCCCATCACCCACTAAGCTGGGGAAACCATTCTTTACTGCCAATTCTACCAAGCGACTGGCTACAGGGGGGTGGAGAACCCACGACCCTCCCAGTCTTTAGGGACTCCCAACTCCCATCAGCCTCAACCGGCTTGGCCAATGGTCAAGGATAAATGGGAGCTGAGGTCCAACAACATCTGGAGGACCAAAGGTTCCCCATTCCTGGGGTACTCTCTCTCTCTAGCAACACTGCTCCAGCTCCACCTTTTCTTCCCTTCTGACTGCCTCTCTCCAACAACCTTCTTAGGACAGCAGCTAAATTCACTTCAGCTCTGGGTCACTTTAACCTGCAGAAGCCTTTTTCTAAACAAAAGTGCTTTCTGATGTCTGTGACATGTGACAGGCCTCCCATAGGAACATGTTCCCTAACCTCAAGCCACTGCCAGGAACTTTTTTTGGTGCTCATAACTGGCTTGGAATATATTGGTAACTGACCTTGGACTGAGATAAGGCATGCTCCCTAATGTATCTGTATTTTCAGCTATAATCTTTTCGGCTACACCCTTGTTCAAGCTGTTGCTGGCCCACACCAGAGGCTTAATGCTAAAGATCATACTAAACCCCTAGTTCAATACAACCTGTCTGCAGAACTTTTATTAAAATACTACAAATGGGTTAAAAATTACTCCCCACCTGCTTAATTGTGGCCATTATAAAAGTAGCTTCAGCAAGGATTAATGCTGTGGAGCATTCCAGCAAAGTGAAGAGAGTTTCACAGTTGCAAAGCAGGCCACTCCAACACCCTGCTTTATGTCCTTGTGGAGTCCACCGTGTTCAGTTATCACTGTCCCAGCAGTGCAGCCCACACAAGCATGCAGAAATAGGATGGAGTCCAAATCTAGAGTAGATTAAATTATTATCTGAACCTCAGCACATCCAATCCCCTTTCTCTCCCTTCCCATCAGTTATTTGTGAACTGCCAGAATCTGGACCATTAGCTCCTTGAGATTTTTCTGTTTTATTATTATTAATTAAATTTCTATACCACCCTTCATCCAAGCATCACAGGGCTGTTTACAATATAAAAACACGAAAGTACATAACACAGTAACAAACAAAAAAACAAAAAACAAAAAAGGGGGGACTTAAGGGAGGGAGGGAACTCCCCAAATAGCTCAGCAAGGACTCACTGCTTGAAGGTGTTCCCAATGCCCTCGCCTGCTTTCCAGCCCATGCCCTTCAGCATGGCAAGACCATAGGCTTCTACTGGTACCTCTTCATAATCTGCCTCAGTTGACTAACAATGTGAGGGGAGGAAAAGAAAAAGAGGACAAGTATTAAACTCTCCTGAATAGGAGCTCAGAAGGTTGTCCACAGAGACCCACCACCACTATTACCGATTCTGGCCGGAGGCTGACATCCACTTTGTCTCCGTCTTCATAGCCATCAGGGACACGGTTCTGCATGAGGAGGGGAATGGAAAGTGTGGGGTCTATCTTGGTGCCACTCTCCCATTGCTCCTGTGACTTCCTAGATTCTGAATGCAAAGATATCAAGTTATTCTTATTTACTAATTTATATACTGCTCACATACCAAAATGGCTTCTAAACATTTTACAAGTAGAAAGCCCATTATGAAATATCCACACGTAATAAAAATGTGCCACAAAACAATTCTATATAAAATACAACAAGCTGGTTTAAAAGCTTAACAATTAGAGCAGTTAAAAGGATCAATTAAAACAGTTAGATCAACAGGTTCATGTTCAGGGGAATGATTGTCTAAACAGGTGTGTCTTCAAGAGCTAGCAGAATGACAAAACCAAACAGCCTTGCATATTTCAGCAGGGAGGGCACTCCACAATACTGGTGCCTCCAACAAAAAAGGAAAATGTCTGTGTTACCACAAACTGATATTCATCAAACCATGATAAAAACAATTAGGTTCTATTTCATGATTTAATGTCCTTACTGGGCATGGAGAAACAATTAGCTGAAGCATAAGAAACATACTGCAGAGCTAAGGCAAGAAACCTCAGAATCAAGCAGTCCTTCCTAGGCCGGGTGTGGGGTGGGAGAGGACAAAGGTCCAGCATATAGTACAGCTGTTTGCAAAAACCAAAATATCTGGATATTTGTACCACATTCTTCATTTTTAAAGAGTGTCAACAGTCACCTAAGGTGGAGTAAGCAAGCCTGATAGTGATAAACAATCCTGACCTCAGCTTCACAGCCTTGGGAGTGCCTCCTGAACTTTGATGTTGCAATAGTGACCAGAAACGCTTTTTGTCAACTCCACTGACAAGAACCATTTCCTACCAATTCAGAGTCACTTATGCCTCCACAGCCTCAGAGTTAGGTGACTAGTCTGTCTGGTTACTGTGACGACCAATGGGGTAAAAAAATCCAACCTGATGTTTTCTGCTCCAGTTCTCAAGGATGGGAGAAGGCTGCAATTCTAAGAAGGTGGAGTAAGGAGTGCTCACCTTCAATGAGCTCCCTGACTGCTTGGGCCTCTACGCAGCTGTTCCCATCCTGTTCCTGGGGTGGTGCAGGGTCCTCTGGCTTCTTCCATTTGTTCTTCTGGATCAGGGGAATGACAAGCTCTTTCGGTTGTGGGGCTGGCCGAACACTGCAGAGGAGCATACACCAATTAAGACCACAACAGGGTTTGTCTACTCACAGAGGGATAGTAAAGTACAATGGGGTGAAATTCTGACAAGCTTCGTTCCATCACCCAACTGGTGCCCTCATACTAGGTGGGAGAAACAGAAACTGCTTTGAGCAATGCAGGACACTTTGACAGGTCAGCAGGGGTCACCTGTCAATCACCTGGCATTTTATGATTTAGAGTGCACTCCTGATTCTTTCTTTTGAAACTGTTTGCAACAGTGGCTCTACCTGTCCTATGCTATCAGATGACTGACAGATGAGCATGGCTTGGTCAAAACAACCTTTCAGGGCAAACAGGGAGGTGTGGTGGGCTTAATAAGGCCCACCAGCCAGAGGTTCCCCCACCACTGACCCGACACATTCAGGTAATTTGTTGTGTTACACACACACACACACACACACACACAGCAATTTTGGACCACAACAACAACTGCAAAAAGGCACAAACTTTTTCAAATGCCTTCACATGCACTGCAGAGGAACTTAAGGGGGTGGGGGAATAAAGGTTACTGACCCTGCAAATGACTGACAAAAAACAGTAATACAGGTAAGAAATGCATCTACTGTCACTTGTTGATATAACCAGGAACTAACACTACATTGTTGAAAAACTAATGGTCATCCTTTGCTAAGGAATACTTATGTCCTACAACAAAAAATACTGTATACCTTTCACTTGCATCACAACCCCATGTCACCCTTCCCTCTCCCTTCCCTCCACTGCCAAGGTGAAGAATTTAAGTTCATTAGGAGAACCCATCTCTGTATTTGTATTGCGGTGGAAAGTCCAGATCACACATTGGGATGCAAGTGTTTTGTGCAGCAGCTGCAACAGACTGGCAACCTGTGGCTCTCCAGATGTCCGTGGGCTTCCTGTCGGCCTCAGCCATCATGGCCAAGGATCAGGGATGGTTAAGTAACATGGACAGGGAAGAGACAGGCAGAATTCCCACCCCGATCCAGGCTGGGAGTTGTTGCTTTTTGTTTCCCAGTGTATTATCAATAAAAAAATCGGTGTGCTGCAAGCAAATTTTTCATCTGAAAGTGTAACCCGGAGGGGGCGGGGAAAACCTGAGAACTAACACTCTAAAAAAATACTAATAACCCAAAGCCCTGTGACATCCCCTCTGGCATCTCGGAGAGAAGGCGAAGGCAGAGCCTGGCATGCTAGCTTTCTGCATGCGGGGATATCTCCCCCTCCCCGTCTCTCTCTCTCCTCAGCCACGCCAGAAGCGGCACCACCGAGCCCGCCAGGGACAGGCGCGGCCTGGCAAGGCGCAGCCCAAACCAGCCGCTCAAGCGAGCGACTGAGGCGCCGCGCAGACGACCCCCGCCGCCCACTCAACTACCTTTGCAACTCGCGCCCCTCAATGGCGGAGAGGAAATCAGGCTCCTGCTTCGCTTCGCCGCCGCCATCTTGCCCCGTCACGAAAAGAAACCGCCTCCGCCCGGTTGTCCGCGTGAAGCCGAACGACACCGGGGCAGCTTGCGCCCCCGCTGGCTTCTCGGCCCCGTCCGCCATCTTCCCTTCGCTTCCTCGTCGCTCCTTCCCTCCCTCGCGTGCCTTTGGCGTCACTTGCGTCGCCCGCTGGGCATCATGGGAGACGGAGTTCCTGGGCCCCTCCCGTCTCCGTGGGAGAGCAAGCGGGCAGGGGAAAAAAATAACTATAACTCCCATGGTGCAGCGCGGCAGAGGGCTTCTCGACTCTCTCAAATCAGAGAAAGAATAAAGCAAAACACTACAACTCCCGTGCTTCCTTGCGACAGCCAGAAGGCGCCGGCGCATGGGCAGTGATCCAAATTGCGCATGCGCCATACCGACGCGGAAGAGCGAGCAGCGCTTCGTTTGCTGTAATACCCCTTGCGCATGCGTGGTGCGGGGCATAGTTAGAGATCCTTGCATTGGCCATCCATTTCCGGCATGTGAAAAACAACCACCGCGGGCCGTTTTCAGCGGGCGACTTGCTTCCGGTATATATGGGATTTATATCTCCATGGGGAAAGGACGGCGCGTTTTGGGGTAGCCAGTCTAGGCCTCCTTTGGGACTCTGTGCTCTCTGAAGTTGGTGGGACAGGCAGACATTCAACAGATGAAGCTCTGTTCCATCGGTTGCATTTCTGTAGAGGGAAGAGCCTTCTTCACCTGTTGGTTTCTGCCTGTTACGACGCTAAGCATCTGCAGAGAGCTGGCTTATTTATTTATTTATTTATTTATTTGATTTAGGTCACAGGGCGGTTACGTTAGTATGAATCCTGCCTGTCTGCCTGGTAAGGTTGGCTTTCCATACCAACAGCGTCTCTCAGATCTAAGATTTATAGGAAGCTGGGTAGGGTGGAGTGGGGCCTTTTTTCTGGATTGCACCATTTCCACGCTGCATGTGAGGACTCGCATGATGGGCTCACCCATTTTCCGTTTGTGGTCACTTGGCAACAAGAAGCTGAGGATAAGCTAAGTCTCCATCCGGGAACCCTCTCACAGTGGTAGCACCCAGTCCTGGAATACAAGAAGAATTAGGAAATAATAACGGGCTTAGGAAGCTGCCATGTATTGAGTCAGACCCTTGAACCATCTACTCTGTATGGCAGCAGCTCTCCAGGGTTTCACAAGTGCAATAAAAAAGTACAGAACGCATTTTCATAGAATTGTAGAGTTGGAAGGGATACTGAAGATCATTTAGTCAGATGCAGGTATTTAAGCGGCTGTTTGTATGGGGATCAAACCAACATTATCTACACCACACTTGGAACAACTTAGCTATCCAGTTTTGAGAGATAAATTTCAAGGTGATGCTTATTCTCTGCTAATCCCCTAAACGGTCTGAAGTCATAGTACCTCAGGGAATTATAAATAGTAGTAGTAGTAATAGTAATAATAATAATAATAATTTATTTATACCCCGCCCATCCGGCTGGGTTTCCCCAGCCACTCTGGGCGGCTTCCAACAAAACACTAAAATACAATAACTTATTAAACATTAAAAGCTTTCCTAAACAGGGCTGCCTTTAGATGTCTTCTAAAAGTTTGTTAGTTATTTTTCTCTTTGACATCTGGTGGGAGGGTGTTCCACAGGGCGGGTGCCACTACCGAAAATATATAATTTGTACCCCACCCGTCTGACTGAGCTCTGCCCTGAATAACATCCACTTAAAAGGTAAAATCTACAAGAGCTCTTTCAGTGGTGGAGCTGCAGCTTTGGAACAACCTCCCAAGAGTTTCTTTTACTTTTTAGAAAAAGGCGTTTCAGATGTATCAACTCTCCAGGGCTTTAAAAAGTACTCTCTGAGGTTCTCTGTTGCAGTGGCGTAGCGTGGGGCGTGCAGGGGGGGCCGGCCGCACCGGGCGCAACATCTGAGGTTAGGGCAAATCCACAGGTTAGGGGGCGCAAATCCACGGGTTAGGGGGCGCAAATTACTTGCCTTGCCCCGGGTGCTGACAACCCACGCTACGCCACTGCTCTGTTGCAGCCATTTTGATATTGATACTGGATTAGCTAATAGCTACCTACTTCCTCTAGGGCTGGCCTGTTATGCCTCCAGTTCATTCATTATAGCAAGCCAGTGCTACTGCTTTGACCCACAGTTGAGGTTCTTCCCCACACAGTGGCAAAGCAGGTAACAGACACGTTCTTCTCTCGCATTCTAGCACCTGTCAGATAAGTGAGGATGGGACGTTCCTCCAAAGACAAGCGTGACATTTACTACCGCCTGGCCAAAGAAGAGGGGTGGCGAGCCCGTAGTGCGTTCAAACTTCTGCAACTGGATGAGGAATACCATTTGTTTCAAGGTGGGCCAAAAACATGCGTCCCCATTATATTACCACTTTTTCTTGCATCACTGAAGGGCATGAACAAGTGTTGAACACTCAAACCTATTTTTAATGCCAGGGCTTAGACCCAGAACCTGAGAAGTGGAATATTAATACTTTTGCTTTGGTACCTCCTTCTAGCAAATAGCTTTTCTCAGATGACCAGAGTCCTGTTTTTGGGGAGATAACACTGCAACAAAAGCCCCATCTTACCACTTTAAACAGTCATGTATTCCCCCAGAGAATCATCTCAGGAGTTGTTCTTCCTAATCCTTTTTTTCAGCCCCTTTGCAGAGGTGCTAACTGATCTTCTCTTGTCCTTCCTAGGTGTCTCTAGAGCTGTGGACCTCTGTGCAGCTCCTGGGAGCTGGAGCCAGGTTTTAAGCCGAAAGATCAAGTAAGCAAATGATTCAGTTCAAATATATCTAGTGGGTTCCATCCCCTTAGAGATGGGCTAGACTCTCATGGCATCTACTTATATTCCACCCCACAGAGGAGAAGACATGAAAAACTCTGATGTCAAGATAGTAGCTGTAGATTTGCAAGCCATGGCTCCGTTGCCGGGTGTCATCCAAATTCAGGGGGACATTACCAAGGTAGGTGCTACCTAGTGCATCTTGGGGTGATGTCAGCCTTGAGCTTGGCCTCTACCCCATCTAAGCAGCAGCAGAAGAAAAAGAGGCCTACCTAGAGAACAGTCTCTTTGCTCACATACCCACCTACCTCTCTGTTTCCAGGTCTCTACAGCTCAGGAGATCATTTGCCATTTTGAAGGGCAGCCCGCTGACCTGGTGGTGTGCGATGGAGCCCCTGATGGTAGGTGGCAACCAGGCTCCCAGCCTTGTCAGGGGAATCGGGGAGCTCTGCTGGGCCAACGGTGGCTTTAGAGGGAAAAGCTGCCTGAATTAGCACTGATAGGTAATTCCTTTACTCTGCAGTGACCGGACTCCATGACATAGATGAGTACATTCAGGCCCAGCTGTTGCTCGCTGTGAGTATCTCCTGGTGTTTGCCGCTATGTGAAATGAGCAAGCTCAACCACAATGGGTGCTGGGGGGGCTTTGCACTGATGGAAGAGCCGGTTGGCATCCTTCAGCAGAAAGTTGCCCAGGCTGACTGAATGCAGCAGATCGGGAAGCTCGATAGGAGCAGTGCCAGCAAGTGATGGGTATGACATCAGCCCCTGTGAGTCTTGCTGGGATCCACAGGCCCCAGAAAATGCCACACTGTTCTGGGTCCTGACATAAGGCCTGATATCAAACAGGTTAATGGGATGCCCTCCAAAGGACCTATCTGGTGTCATGGTAATCCCCAGACCTGGAAGATCTATAGATTGCTCCTAAGTGGAGTCTTCTGTGGTTAGGGCTGCCCCACAATCTCAATATGCAATTTCAAAAATAGATTTTCAGTACAGTATTTAGCATTTGGCTCTGAATCTTGACTTTTTAAAAAAGGTATGCTACAGCTGTAAAAACAGATTAACAGTCACAACTTCTTGTGAATTCTCAGAAACCCAAGGAAGGGTTGGCATGGCTGCCAGTTCGCAGTCGGGAGCTGTAAAGACTGTTCCAGATGATGCATTGGCCGGGGAGACGTTCAGTTCCCACTCATCAGCTGATCAATGCTGACTTCAAGGTGGACCCTGCTCACGTGTCATGAGCCACTGAGGGTGGGAAAGCCCAGGATCCAGTCCACTTTCCCACCCTGTCTTTCAAGTACTGGGCCTTTGCTAACAGCGAGGAAAAGAGCAGGACCATAGCAAACCCTTTCGCCTTTTATCTAGGTTTCTTTTCCGGCCCAAACTGTCATGGGATGCTGGTGGCTCTGTTCCCCACCTGCTGCATCTTTGTGCCAAAAAAGGCTTTTCTCTTTTGGTGATGATTGTTTCCTTCTGTTTCTTCCAGGCTCTGAACATCACTACGCACGTGCTAAAGAAGGGAGGGACATTTGTAGCAAAGGTGAGCCCTGAAGGTGATCAGGGAAGAGTTAATAGGCACTGCAGTTCTGCTTTAGGTGTGGCCAAACAGGTATAGCCAAACAGGGCTGCTGTGGGCACCGCACCAAAGTCATCACCCTGCAGTGATGTTTCAGCACCTGCTTATTGCTGAGCTCACCTAAGGCACCACAGCAAATAGGATGGGGACTTGGTGGCCTGTCCAGTTCATCAGCCCATTGAGCGTCAGCAGTGGGCCAGGAGGTTTTTCAAAACAGGAACAAGGGAACTTGAGAAGGAATACTGAAAATTTTTAAGCTCAACTTCTATTTCTTTTTATTTATTTAATTTAAAATATAATTCAGTGATGTGTAAGGAATAAGGAAATAAAAAAAGAAAAACACAACTGAGTAGAAGTTAAAAGTAAATTTGGCAAAAAGGAGTACAGATTAGGATTTATGGCAGAGTCAAATCTGGCCCATAGCTAGTGCTGAAAAATTAACTCAAAAAGTAAGGTATAGTAGAAGACAGACCAAAGGTGATGTGTTTTTCAACCACATGGCAAAAATCGATTTTGTATGAAAATGATAACAACGGTGTTTAAACACCTCTGGTGAAATAAGCCGCTATTTGGAATTCTTAATAACTCTTCACCTTCAAACAAGAATATTGCAAGACCCAGAGGATAACAACCTGATACTTTCAAACAAAGCAAAATAGCCCGTTACGCTTCCCAGGGATTGTGAATGCAAGGACCCAAATTCGAGAGAGCTTGACTTGAACCCTTAAGGCAGGCATGGCCAAACTTGGCCCTCCAAATGTTTTGAGACTACAATTCCCATCATCCCTGACCACTGGTCCTGTTAGCTAGGGATGATGGGAGTTGTAGTCCCAAAAACATCTGGAGGGCCAAGTTTAGCCATGCCTGCCTTAAGGCAAAGGTGGCCGTCAGTGGCATTGGGAATCCTCCTGATGTGCTTTCTGCTGACATGCTGAGGCAGGATCTTGTGACTTCGTGAGATCCCACAGCAGGGAACTTGGGTTCATTTCCAATGTTATGAAGAGTCACTGCACTTGGGTGCTGGCTGCGTGTTGAGTCTGTTTTGGGAGCACCCTGGGCTTGTTCCCTCTCAGCACCTGATGCCGTTGAGCTCAGGGTCCCCAGGACATCTGAATTACGCCCCTTCCCCATCTCTCATTGGCGGAGGATTCCTCTGCATCTGTGTCGCTATCCACAGCCTGGGTAATGTGGCGTAAGAATGCAGTTTATCCAGGCGAGATGATGGCATTTTGCTTCCCTGCCTTAGATATTCCGAGGGAAGGACATCACCCTCCTCTATTCCCAGCTGCGAATTTTCTTTCCTGATGTGACGTGCGCCAAACCCCGAAGTAGCCGCAACTCCAGCATCGGTGAGCGACCAAACAGCTTCTTGCAAGCTTGGTTAACTTGCAGCTTTGCCACTCATGGGGGAAACTCTACAAAGCATTACAGGATCTGACAGCTTGTTCAGAATCACTGGAATCTCAAAAAATTATAATAATGAGTGGAATTCTAAGTGGCACTAAGGAGATTTCTCTGTCTGCGCGAGTATTTCTGCTTGCCCAATGAAACGATCTTCCCCCTCTTCTCCCCCTGTAGGCTGTTCTGGGGCCCCTCCCAACACCCCCAGAGCCTATCTGGGGGGCATAGATGGGGAGGAGAGGCAAGGGGAAGCCATGTTGTGCTGGCGGGACTTGTCCTGGCTCCCGCTAGTGCAGCTCTTTAGTTGTATCTGCTGGTCCCATGTTTCTAGTTGTCATTGTTGCAGGTGAATGTCTGGAAGCATGCAGGCAGAGGGCGAAAGATGGTGCTTTTGTGCCCTGCGTGATACGCACGTCCCCTCGTGACTTCCAGCGTCTTTCCCATCGCCCTATCACCCATTGCTTTGCCAACTGTTTCCTCCTCCCTCCACCCTGCTCCTTGCAGCAACCTTCTACAATTGAAAGAAAGCAAATGAGCAGTTCTCCAAAAACACAAAAGTGAACGCAGGTCAGAGAAGCGCACAACAGAATCTGCACGTGCCGTGGCATAATGTTCTCTTAGGGTTTTTGATTGAGTTTCCTTTGATATCTTTGGTGGAGGTCTTTTCTGTCTCAGTGCCATTTTTTAAAAACCAAAGTCATGTTTGTGTTGCAGCAGCTGCACTTGCAGTTTAGGCTAACTCTTTAAATTTATGCAAACATGCTTCCTTAGTCTCCTAGTTCAGCTAGGGACAAGAATCCCATTACATTGCGTTCAGTGGGTTGCCATGCATTTGCAAAATTCGGACATGTGTACAACACATCTTCTGTGTACAGTGGTACCTCAGGTTAAGAACTTAATTCATTCTGGAGGTCTGTTCTTAACCTGAAACTGTACTTAACCTGAAGCACCACTTTAGCTAATGGGGCCTCCTGCTGCTGCCGCGCTGCTGCTGCACGATTTCTGTTCTCATCCTGAAGCAAAGTTCTTAACCCGAGGTAATATTTCTGGGTTAGCGGAGTCTGTAACCTGAAGCATATGTAACCTGAGGTACCACTGTACTGTTGTTGAAGTCTCGGTCTACCCAGTGTTGGAGGTAGTGGGCAGTTGTTTGCTCCTTTTTTTTTTTTAAGATGTTTATTAAGATTTTCAAAATATTACAAAATGAAAAAAGTTTGCTCCTGCTGCAAAGCTAATCCCCAAAGGCTGTGTTTCCCCGCTTCCTATAGATGTGAGCGGCAGCCATTCATTTTTGCAGGTCATTCTCTCAAGGGCACCGCTGGCAAATGGGCTCTTGCCATTGAAGAGCCTTCTGTCTATTGCATGAGTCATGCGTCCCTCATCTTCTGCATCCCAGGAGTCAGACTGTTTTATTCTGTCACATAGAACTCAGTGGAAACAATTTAGAACAGAGTCTGTGTCTGAATAGCTCCATGCTGGTTCTTGGTCATTTATAGGAAGCTGGATTACATCAGTGAGGCTACTGGATCCATCCAGCTTGGAGTTGTCAGTCCTGACTGGCAGTGGGCCTCAGGGGCTGCAGGCAAAGCTATCTCCTAGCCCTGCCAGGAGATCCCAGGGGTTTGAACCTGGAACCTTCTGTTTACAAAGCAGGTGCTCTGTCCTCTTTGCTGTGTGTCCCCCCCCCCACCTCCAGCCTGATGGTTTTGGTGCAGAACATGTCTTTCCCCAATGCAGGTTGAGGTTAGGCACAGCATACTCCTCACGGGGCTTGATAACCAACTTTATTGGGGAAACAGCAGGGGGTTGTGTGTGTTTGTGTGTAATTTAGTGTATAATTTAGTGCACACCCTGGAAATGATCTCTTTCAGCTTCTGCCTTCTGGAAGAAGGTACAGGGTTATAAAGACTAGGACTAAGAAACAGTTTCTATCCAAATGCGATTTTGGTTTTAAATGCAGTGTAAGGAGTCTCTATGGGAGTGCACTGTATTTTAAAAATGGGGTATCAGAGTTTTTAGGGGGCTAACCAGGCTGGGATAGCTGGGATAGCAGGCTTGTTGGGTTTGAATGTATTATGTAGATTTTAAATTTTTTTTCAATTTCGTTGTTCTGTATGGGACAATGACAATAAAGATTATCGTATCAGAATGCCAGAGCAGTGATCACCAAAGCTTTTAACTGCCTTTTCATCCTTCCAGAGGCCTTCGTTGTTTGCCGAAACTACAGCCCCCCCGAAGGCTACGTGCCAAACATGTCCAATCCTTTGCTAGATCACTGTTATGGTAAGGAACCTTGAAGGGGGAAGAGATGTTTCTGCGGGTTCCTGTTGTGTTGGGGGACGCAGGGCAGGGAAACTGTTTGAGGGCGAAGGCAAGAAAGTGTGGATGGAGGAGGGCAGGTGCAAGTTGCTTACAGGGGGATTGTGAATCTTCGGTCCCAGGAAGTGATCCATTGTCGGATTGCTGTCTGTGTTTCCTGTCCATAGAGTCAATTTCTTGAGAAGCCAGGCAGACCCCATAGTATATAAGCGATGAAATCAAAGTCTTCCATAAGTTCTGGATATGAAAAGAATGAATTTGCCTAGGGAAAACCTCCGTTTTAATCCAGTGTACAGTGAGTGCAGTTTGATCATGAGGAAATCAGGTTGACAAAGGAAATATAACAAAAGTGCCTTGTGGCAACTTGCAGATTAGCAAATTGGTTGTGGTGTAAACTTTCCTGGACTGGAGTCCATGCCATCAGATGGCCAGGTGGATGCAGAGGGCAAAAAATGTAAAACCTCCAGGCCAGCAACAAGATTACACAAAAAGTAAAGCCGGTTCAAATTCAGCTGAAGCTTAGCTGCATAGAAAATAAACATTGGGAACATTCACAACTGACACTGTTGGTGATAACATAAATCGCAGTAGCTTTAATATGTTAACATCTGCAGTGAGACAGAAAACCTAGATGAATGTGGTATTTTCTAAAGCAGGGATGGAACACCTGGGTCTGCAGGGCCGCCAGACTGTTTTCCCCAAACAACACCAACCTGCCCCATGGACTGGATCGCTCAGCTAATCCCTGCAGAAAGTAGGATTGAGCTCCCTGCCCACCAACTGATTGGGAGGGATCTCGATCCTGCTTGCTTGTTATCTCCGCCCCCCCCCCCGGGAGGGACAACTTCAAGAGGGGGCTGGGATAAGCTACCTGTCATCATGATATTAGATGATTGACAGGTGGCTGTCACAAGTTGGCCCTGTATGGTATGGGAAGATGAAGATACGGTTCGCTGCACCGAAAAGATTCCCCCGTATTTCTCCTTGTCCAATTTCTGGTATTTTTCTCTCTCCCTGCTTTTAAATCTTATTGGAGTCTTAAGTTTCTGGGCAGCAGTTGTGTTATACAGTGGTGCCTCGCAAGACGAAATTAATTCGTTCCGCGAGTTTTGTCGTCTTGCGGTTTTTTTCGTCTTGCGAAGCACGGTGTCGGAAAAGTTTTGGAAAAGGTTCAAAAATCACCAAAGTCTTCAAAAACCTCAAAAAAGGCTACCACACCGCGTGCTATGAGTTCCTCCTCAAAGTCAAGTCGCAACTGTATTAACGGTGTTAAGAAAAAGGAAACAAACTTGCAAGACGTTTCCGTCTTGCGAAGCAAGCCCATAGGGAAAATTGTCTTGCGAAGCAACTCAAAAAAAAAAAAACCCTTTCGTCTAGCGAGTTTTCCATCTTGCGAGGCATTCGTCTTGCGAGGTACCACTGTATTCTATTACCCTCTGCATGATGCCTAGTTATAGCACCTAATAAAGACTCCCTTGTTGCTGTTACCATCATTATCACTGTGATCAGCCCAAGTATTGGAAGCCCTTTTTGCTGAAGCAGTGTTTTAGCAGGAGAAAAAGGCACTTCTGCCCTAAGCCAGGTTTCCTTTAAAAATACATTACCCAGGAGGACTGAGGAGTCTGAAAGCTTCTTAGCCAAAGAGAATTTTTAAAAAGATGTTGTAAGGATATTTGTAAATGAGGGGAATAGGATTAGGAATTGTAAAGAGCTACAAAGGTGAATAGTGGGGCAGCGCAGGCTGTGTTCAACCCTGAAGGGTCCATCTCTTTGCAAGCAGCACTTACCAAACCTCCTCCAATACAGATGTGGATTTTAACCAGCTGGAGGGCCCCAATCGGGTGATTGTCCCCTTCCTGGCTTGTGGAGACCTGAGTGCTTATGATTCCGACCGGACGTACCCTCTACAGGTAAGGCTGGTCTTGGGTGGTGCGCCTGGAGGCCATTGGGAATGGGCGATTCAAGCATAGCTCCATCGGCCTTTGCTCCGATTGAGGAAGCAGGCTTTTTAGAACCAGGGGGAGTCCTATGGGTTCTCTTCCGCCACTTGGTCCTTCCTGAATCGGTAGCTGCAAAACCACCCTCTGGTCGTTGGCAGTGGTGGTGCTAAGAACAGAAGAGGCCTGCTGGATCAGACCAAAGGCCCAATCTTAGTCCAGCATCCTTAGTGGCCTACCAGATGCCAATGGGAAGCCCACCAGCAGGACCTGAGGGCAGTAGGAGTCCCCCTCCCCATCTGCAATTTCCACCAACTGGTATTCAGAGGCATACTGTCTTCATCATGCTCCTTTCTCGGTGCAAAGATTAAAGTACACGGGTCCCTCTATTAGGGATTCCCAGTCCAAAGCCCCTGGTGCCTTGCAGTTATCGGCAAGAGAACCTGAAACAGGCAGCATTGCATCCAATGCTAGTCCTACACAGAGCAGACTCAATGAAACTATTAAGACCTAAGTCAGTCCCAGCTATTACCGTATTTTTCGCTCTATAACACGCACCCGACCATAACACGCACGTAGTTTTTAGAGGAGGAAAATCCGTAGGCATGCCACCCGTAGGCATTCCCTCCATAACACGCACAGACATTTCCCCTTACTTTCTAGGAGGAAAAAAGTGAGTGTTATGGTGCAAAAAATACGGTAATTTCAGTCGGATGAGACCAATAACAGGTCCAAGAAGGTGGTTTCTGCATGTGCTGTAGAAGGAAGTGAGGGGCAGGTGGGGCTCATCCACCAGGGAAGGGGGTCCATCTAGGTCAGTGAGTACCAAACTTGGCCCTCCAGCTGTTTTGGGACTTCAATTCCCATCATCCTTGACCACTGGTTCTGTTAGCTAGGGATGATGGGAGTTGTAGTCCCAAAACAGCTGGAGGGCCATCACTTATCTAGGTGAAGGAAAACCTCTGCTGCCTTGTGGGATATCTTTGGGAGAAGAAAAGGTTACACAAATCCTACACAAATCCAGAGTGGAGTCCCTAAGATGGCTAGATGGCGCTTTGTACGCCTCCTTCCAGCAACTCCTGGTGCCGAGCGTATTGCTCTGCTTTCCTTTGTATTACTTCAGCGAAGCCGAGAGAGGGGTCTTGTCATCTGCGCAGCCCAGGATCTCCAGACACATGGCCAGGCTTGCGTCCTGGGAAGGTCTCTCTGGTGCTGCTACTAAAGCAGTTTGACTCCACTCCTGTCTCTCAAGAAAGACAGGTGCTTAAGTAGAAGTAGCATTGGCTACAACCCAAAGACCGCAGTGCAAAGAACGAAGGTGCCCATTGATTAGCATTGGAGTTTAACAAAAGGATAATGGTGGTTGACAGTGCTTAGGCTCCGGAAAGGGACTTGGACCACCTGCTTTAAGGCTCTCTTGCTCTCTTTCCCATTTGATCAGCTGGATCCCGAGAAGAAATACACTTACGTACCCCCGACTCAGCCTCCCATCTGCCCTCCCTACGAAGAAGCCTGCTTCTTGAAGAAACACAATCTGCTGACCAAGGAGCAAGTGCCCCAGCCTCAGCAGGAAAGGGTCCTCCAGGGGCAGCAAGAGCAGGGGGCTGCACGCTCACCCCTAGAGGCCGAGGTCACAGACGCCCTGGGAAAACTGTCAACGTGACATTATCACAGAAATGGGGGGCAAGAGATGCATACCGCCCCCTGCTGGTTTGAAAGACTTTTCATCCTTCTTGGTTTACCTTTTGCAGCAGTGGTTCCCCATTAGCTAAGTACTGCAGACCCCCTGTTTTTCAAAAGCCGGGCCGTGGTCCCCTTACTTTTGAAAATTTTGATATCTCTATGGTAGTTTTTGTTAGGTGAGTAAGAACAACAATAATGTTTACAGGCCGCCCATCAGACTGGATTGTCCCAGCCACTCTGGGCGGCTGCCAACAAAATATTTAAAACACAATAAAACCTCAAACATTAAAAATGCAGACACCCCCCCCGGGTGGGTTACACAGACCCGCTGACATCCACAAACCACCAATTGGGAACCACTATTTTACAGAATTTCCTGTTTTATCAATACAAAGTCCCTTTCTCCCTGACCAAAACCGTGTTGATTTTAATAAAGCTTTGACACTTTCTCAGAGCTTTTCTTTTGCTGTGATAAGTAGCTGGAATGCTTTATTTGGAAGACACACAGAGAGAGGTTCAAATTCCTGTTCATCCATCCAGGACAGCTGTGGGCTAAAGACAGGATTCTCTTGGTTTCCCTTCCCTCAAAGTCAGACTGTGTTCTGAGTGCTGCAGAAAATATTGATAATAATTTAGCAAAGGCATATTGTTTCCCAGTACCAGATGTCCTTCCAGGTTTTTGATTATGCTGGCTTTCAGCATACTGCTTATTACTTTATCTTCTTTAATCTGACAGTCGGGAGTTGCTATAGATGGACCGAAATTCCCTGACAATACTATTTATTCCTCATGGTAAACTCGTCCTTTCTCCCCCTGCTCCACTCCTTGCCAAAGCACGGAGTTCGTGGTTGTTGCTGTCATCCTCCTCCATCATCCTGTTTTCCTCAGGTCAGTCCTTGTTTCCTCAGAATCCAGGTGTTGCCACAAAGGGAGGACCGTTCCCTGGAGACTGAGGGCTACACAACAGTGACCCCTTCACCATTCAGTTGGGCCACCTGGGCATGGATTTGGATTCCAGCTGGCGGTGATTCTGCGCCAGTACTTTGGCGTGAGGAGCTGGCTTTCAGGCCCTCAGCCCGTGGAGGCCCTGTCCTCAGGATACCTGGCCCCCAGCCATCCACAGGCGCCCCCACAATGAAATCAAACCGATCCAGCGGAGTGTGCTCTATGGTACACAGAGACTCCTCACCCAGGTAGCCTGGGTTGGCTCCCTCCATGGATGCGTCGTCTCCCGGGCTGCAGCGTCCAGACTGGGGACCCTCGGTCTGGGAGGCTCGATGGCGGGTGACCTGCTGAGTGTCCAGCTGCGGCTCGGCTCTTCGGAAAGAGTAATGGGCAAATATGCCGATGAAGAACATCTCGACAGCCAGGGAATAGTAGTAGATCACTGGAGGGGGTGAAGAGAGAATTAAGAATATGGTACGCTCCGCAGCAGAGGTGGCGAACTTCTGGCCTGCTAGGGATTCAAGTTTGGCCCAGGAGGTTGTTTCCCCCAAACTTTGCCCACTTCCCCCACATCCAACATCGTATGCAATTTCAGGTGTGGGGCGGGTAGAAAGAGACATGACTGCCAGTGCTCTCCCAGTTGTGCATCGGCAAGGGAAAGCAGTTTCCTTACAGCAGGCTTCCTCAAACTCGGCCCTCCAGATTTTTTGACCTACAACTCCCAAGATCCCTAGCTAGCAGGTCCAGTGGTCAGGGATGATGGGAACTGTAGTCTCAAAAACATCTGGAGGGCTGAGTTTGAGGAAGCGTGCCTTGCACCTTCCGTTGATGCTTAGGCCAGACCAGCTTTCGCCAAGCTGATGACCTCCGTAGGTTTTGGACTACAAGTTCCATCAGCCCCAGCTAGCTTGGCAGGCGCCGTAGTTGCACTAGTGGAAGCCAGCACAATGATTCTGAGTAGCATAATAACAACAGCAATAACAATAATTTATTATTTATACCCCGCCCATCTGGCTGGGTTTCCCCAGCCACTCTGGGCGACTTCCAACAAAATATTAAAATACAGTGGTACCTCGGGTTAAGTACTTAATTTGTTCTGGAGGTCTGTTCTTAACCTGAAGCACCACTTTAGCTAATGGGGCCTGCTGCGCCGCTGGAGCACAATTTCTGTTCTCATCCTGAAGCAAAGTTCTTAACCCGAGGTACTATTTCTGGGTTAGCAGAGTCTGTAACCTGAAGTGTATGTAACCCAGGGTACCACTGTACAATAGTCTATTAAGCATTTAAAGCTTCCCTAAACAGGGCTGCCTTCAGATGTCATCTAAAAGTCTGGTAGTTGTTTTTCTCTTTGACATCTGGTGGGAGGGCCTTCCACAGGGCAGGTGTCACTACCGAGAAGGCCCTCTGCCTGGTTCCCTGTAACTTGGCTTCTCGCAATGAAGGAACTGCCAGAAGGCCCTCGGCGCTGGACCGAAGTGGGCAGAACAATGGGGGTGGAGACGCTCCTTCAGGTACACTGGGCCGAGGTCGTTTAAGGCTTTAAAGGTCAGCACCAACACTTTGAATTGGACTTCCCCCTGCACACCTCCACAGCCTCCCCAAATTTGCTCCAGGGGGGTTGAGGGAACCCCAAGAACTGCATGGGAAGGAGAGGGGCACTGTCAAGCATGCAGAAATGAGCGTAAACAATCTCCTTAGCTCTACTGTGAATACAACTCTTTGGGTGCACTAGGTTAGTGAAGACTGGCTCAGATGACACCCTGCCCCTTGCCCAAGAGCAAGCTTTGTAAGGAACTAGGTTTTCCCCCTCTTTCTCTGCCCTCTGAGAGACCCCGACCCCGCAAGGGGGCAGGGAACCTCTCTGGCATGAGACAGCAAGGAAGGCAATTGCCCCAAGACGGCAAGTCAGAGAGTGAGGTTGGCTTGCCCATCAGCCATCCACCCTCAATGGCGCCTGCTGCAGGCTCCTGGCCTCCCTGAAGCAGCTTACCTTGGGAGCGTGTCACCGGGGAGAGAGGTGGGCTGCAAGGGATGGCCCCCACTGCCCCCATGGTCTCCAGGATCCCACTCTGCAGGCCACAGAGAACGAGAACCAAGATGATGCAGACGAACTTGGAGCGCAAGCTGTAGCCGTTGAGCGCTGGCTTGGTGGCTTTGTAGAAGAGCAAGTAGCCATAGAAGGATAGGAATGTGGAGATGGCAATGATGGCGTAGATGTAAGAGTTGGGGTTGGTGTAGCCCACCTGGGAGAGAGGGATGGGCAAATGAAATGTCAGATTCTGGGGCTCCCCCCAGCAACACGTGTTTGGGCCCAGAAATGGAAACGAGTAGAATTACCGAAATCACTAATTCAATTTATCTGGCTTTAAATTAACAGAGAAGATGGAAAATGCTGTTGCGCTCTTCGTCAGCAGGGATCATTAACGTTTTTAAGGCACATGGGCAGATGTGAATTTTTGAATGAGTGCTGTGGGCACCACACCTGAGCAAGTATCTCACAGAGAGAGAGAGAGAGAGAGGGAACTCACACACCATTTCCAAGGGATCTGGGTAAAAGCTGGATCCAAAACAATCTGAGCCTTGAAAAGCCCATAGAGCTAAAAGAGGAAGTGGGAAAGAGCATCACTTTTCTAACTTCCCCTTTCAGGTCTATGGACATTTCAAGGGAGAAAATGTTAACCACCCTCCATGCTTCATGGTGGGGTGAGGGGTGTGTGTGTGTGTTGAGATAAATATTTTGTGGGCGCCAGCGGAAGACCTGAAGGGGACCACTTCATATACATGTCTAACCTAATATAGTTCCATCTATAGAAATCCAGAGGTGATCTGGGGGCCAGAACCGGTGGTGGTTCTCCTTATATCACCCAGGAGTGGCCCTTGCTGTTCCCTCTTTGCCTGTTAACCAAGGCAACACAATTCTCTGAACTTGCTTCTCACATTCATTTCCTTCCCACCTTTCAATTTATGTCCTGCACTTACTTGAACTGGGGGCTACTTGCAAGCTTTCATTCCCAGGGCTGTGGAATTTTACTGTGCTTTTAAAATCCTGATGAGCAACTTTTAATTGATACCAATCCACTGTTGCCCCGTTCCCTAATTGCCAGGTTTGCCCGGGTTGGTCCCAGCCTGGTGCTCAGGAACGTAACAGCATTTTCATTGTAAGATCCAGCAGTGATACCAAGCTTGTTCTATGGTTGTCATCCAAAGAAACTACTGCTAAGGTTTAGCCAAAGCTTCCTATCATTATGCATACAGAATTTGAGCTGCCTTGCCACATCAATTTGATATGCTTTGGCTATAATTAAGACCAGCTTTGTTACTCAGTGAGGAATAACAATGCCCAGATTTAAGTCAGCTCAGTCCAATGGAAGCATCTATCAACAGACCAAAGAATGGGCACCTGTCACTTTCCTCAGGAAAATATCCAACCTGCAGCATCACTGGGAATACCAAGTAATCATTCTGTGCTTAATAGACATGCCCAAGGTGTGACTTAATTCCCTTCCTCTCTGCCTGTTAGCCATGAATTTCACAGCCATGATTACTTACATCGCCATAGTCATATTTCTCATCCGTCCAGAGGATAAGGGTGACGAAAAAGAGGATGGTCCTGATGACAGAGAGCTGGTACACAGCCAGCGTCATACATCGCAAGTTTGTTCTGCAAAAGGGAAGAAGCCGGTGGTTTTCTTTTCTTTTTTTAATTTTTTAAAAATTTATTTAACATAAATATTACAAAATATAAGCAAAATATTGCAAATACATACATATATATTTGAGATAAGCACACACATATAAAAAAGAACAAAAGATAAAAAAGAAAGAAAAGAAAGAAAAAGAAAAAATAAAGAGAAGGTGAAGAAGAAAAGTTGGAAGAATTTCTTCCAAATTTATTCTACAAATATCTCAATACTGTAATAAAATTTCATTGACTGACTTCCACCGCTTACACTGCACTTCCTATATGCAACCAGTGCGCCATGGTACCCTGGGGTGCCTTGAATGATGGTCAGGGAAAGATGTGTAAAAATGGATTGTTAACAGGGGATAATCTAAAGTTATAATATATTAAGACTAAAGATTAGGATAAAAACAAAGAGGGAAAGGATTTGCTGAACCAACTAATTGAACTGGATACAAAAAAGGGAGGTGTGAGGAGGTCTGGGGAACAAGCGAATGAAAGATAAGACACGGAAAGATTTAATTGTTTTTAACTTTTTTTACTTTGTATTTTTTCTTTTTCTTTTTTTCCCCTTTTTGTAATATTTTGAAAACTTTAATAAAAAACTTTTTTTAAAAAAATGAATGATGGTCAGGGGTGCTGTGGGAAACACTGGCCTCTGTCCCTCTTTTCTTCCCTCTCTCCTCTGATGTCCTCTTTTGTCTCTGCCTCCCAAAGGCTGGCACAGCTGTTTGTTGCAGCAGTCCTGGCTGCAAGCTCCCCAGGCGAATGGTGCCTCTGGTTCTGGCCACACATAAATTAAAGCTAAAGGTAAAGGGACCC